GTCATGATGTGATGTAAATGGGATGATGCCAATGATTTTGGCAAGAAATTAATATTCAATATTTAATTTTATGGTTAAATTAAGAATAAGCAAAATCAACCAAATAATCTTAGCCCCACTACATGATATGCCTGCAAAAATATTATATAACAGCAACTTATACAGTTAGAGAACGACTTGTGTTCTAATACAAAAGAGCAGCTGATATGTGCCTATAGTCAAATATTATTTCCTTTAAATGTACATATGCATGTATCAAATTTCTGTCATAAACTTTTGATAACAAAGATTTTCTTAATTGTCGCTGTTTAAAAGGCTATAAGTCATAAATGGTGGCTATTTAAAAGTTTCAATTTCACATGAGCCTTTAAATTAAAACAAGTCGGTGCTTTCTTTACATTATTCTTCTCTTTTACATTTTTCTTTATAAATATAAAAGAAAATTCTGAAATAAATTGGTTGGGACCATTTAATTGCTAAAAAAAAAAATTTTACAGTTTTTAATTTTAATGTGAGAAATTTATATGAAATTTTTGTTTTTTAATTACAGGTCCCAACTAATTTGATGGGGAGTTTAGAAAATTCAAGTATTTATATAAAACGAAACGAGTGTGAAGCTTGTAGTGAAGAAGTCAAACAAAGCAATCAGAGTTACTATAGACATTGACAACATTGTTAAAATAATAATAATAATAATAATAATAATAATAATAATAATAATTCTTATCAATTTCTTGATGAAGAATGTATAAGCTGCATCTTTTATACATATACACTTAGAAGGGTAAGTATTGTCATCCATTGAACTAATTAGAAAGGCCACCTCAAAGACATTTATTTGTAGGTTGAAGAGATCAGGAAGAGAAAAATGGTTAATCCAGAGACCAAGAGTTTGGCTGAATTCTATCCCATGGTTGGTGGAGATGGAGCTCGTAGCTATGCTAAAAATTCTTGTCACCAGGTATATCTTTTACGTCGACACAGATCATGCGATATGTGAAATATATCTATATAGTCTTTTTGATAGAGTTCAGGGGTACAGGCTTGGATTAGTTAATAGTGAAAATTGAAAACAAGATGAAGAAACATTAAAAGTGTAGTTAATTTATAACATAGAAAGTGGGTTTTGTAACATGGAATTAACTTCACAGTATGTTTAGCACTTAATTTACTGATTCATATGTTTTTTATATATTAGGGTCATAATACAATATAACAAACTAATCATATAAATTGATAGTTGTATCAAATTTATCCTATTTACTAAACATGGCTGAAATTTGAGTTTATGGTATATTTACAGAGGGTAGTGGTGGATGCTACAAAGGAAATGGTAAAAGACGCCATAGCTGATAACCTTGACTTAAAAACCATGGAAATTGATGCTTCCAGAACATTTAAAATGGTGGATTTGGGATCCTCTACTGGCCCCAACACCTTCATCGCCGTCCAAAACATTATAGAAGCTGTTGAGCAAAAATACCTTGCTCAACACCAAAACCCTTCTGCCCTAGAATTCCAAGTCTTCTTTAATGATCATTACGACAATGATTTCAACACTCTCTTTAAATCTCTTCCTCCCTCACGAAATTACTTTGCCACCGGTGTTCGAGGTTCATTCCATGGTCGCTTGTTTCCTAATTCCACTCTTCATTTTGTGTACTCCTCCTATGCATTGCGCTGGCTCTCTAAGGATCCAGAAGAAATTGTGGACAGTAAATCTCCTGCATGGAATAAAGGCAGTATTCAGTGTACAGGATTTGTGAAAGAAGTCGCCGAGGCGTATGCAGTGCAGTTCAAAAACGACATGGAGTGTTTTCTGAATGCTAGAGCTGAAGAACTTGTGGGCGGAGGGTTGATGGTGATTGTAATATCTACTTTACCAAATGAGATTCCTATATCTAACACTACTGAGGGTAAAATTTATGATTTGCTAGGATCTTGCCTTATTTACTTGGTCAAGATGGTAAGGATTATATTATTTAGAAAACCTTTACTGCTCATAATTTTTTCTCGGGAGTAGTAATGAAGTATTATTTCTTAATGCAGGGATTAATTAGTGAAGAAAAAGTAGACTGCTTTAACTTCCCTCTATACTATCCAAACCCAAAGGAGTTTGAGACTATTATAGAGAGAAATGGATTATTTACCATTGAGAGAACAAACATATTGGCATACGCTGCAATGGAAAAGACATTCTCTGCGGTAGATTCAACCTCAAAAATTAGGGCTGTGTTTGAGGGACTTATCAAGGAGCATTTCGGCAATGAGGTTGTAAACCAGATATTCAACCATTTCACAACAAAGCTCCTCACTGGAAATATCTTAACGATTGATGATCTTGAAAACCATAACAAGATCGACCTATTCATCTCACTCAAGCGCATCGATCATCAACTGATTTGATGTATTATGTTTGTTCAACTATGATGTAAAGAATTTCATGAATGTATTTTACCTGCAGGCATCAATATTGCCATATGGGAATTTTGCAATTATTCATTTCCTTCGACATATATTAATTCTTAATAACGTTATAACATTTAATAAATAGTTATTTTCTAAAAGACAAATTAATGTTTCAAATATATATTTTAGCTACAGTTGAGCAAAAACTTTGCGTTATATTCGCACTGTAGTTTGGAGTTTTCCTAAGAACCAATTTATATTTTCATATGAGGTTTGGCGTTTGGTTGGTAATTAAAATTCGCATGCATCCAGCGAGGCCTTTAATTTAAATCAATTGGGCGTTTTGACGTTTCCATTCCAATTCTTTATATTCTTTTGCCTAGATAGTGCGCACCAAGTATGGAACTTACAAAATAAACAAGCCAAGCGACCAACCAAGAGATTAGCTGTATATTATTAAATAATTAATCCTAATTTCCTGTAAGCTATCTCTATATATATACACTGGCCAACAACTATAAATATTGTCTTTCCATTGAACTAATAGAAAGGCGACCTCAAATACGTTTATTTGTAGTTTGGAGATTGGAAGAGAGAATGGCTAATCGAGAGCCCCAAAGTTTGGCCATGGTTGGTGGCGATGGAGCTCACAGCTTTGCTAAGAATTCTTCCTACCAGGTATATACGTATATCTTATATATGGTGACACGTACGACATAAACCATGCATGATTAAATAAACTTGCATATGAATTTGATTATTGCTTCTTTTGGCTTGCATCTAAACAAGTAAATATTAATCTCCAAAACGCATAGATGGATTAATTGCATGCATGATGATGATAAGCAGTAACAGTGTCCGTCTTCATCTCACGTTGTCTCTTCTTTTATTCATGTTTAGCCCCAGTTTTCCTACAGTGGCCCTCTAATTAGGTTTAAACTTTTCTCTTTTGGTTTGCTTGTAACATATTTTAGTTGGCTAACTAAATACTTTATAGGGGAGATGCATCCCAGTTTCTCATCATATTTTTGGGGATAAAAACAGTCTGCGTCCAGATTCTTTGAAGCCATTCAAAATTGATGGCTGGGTAGCTTTGGTGATGAAAACTAGTGTATCTTCCTCTTTTCAATAAAAACTCTCTCTTGAACCAGAAAAAAAAAAAAAAAATAGCTAGCTGATGTCATGTTAGAAATTGGGTGTCAATAATCATACACATTAATTTTCAGCATTTCTTAATGCACGAAAAGTTAAGCTAACCGAAAGATTCTTCAATTTAGTTTAAAATTTTGTCCTATTTTAAATATTTTTGATGCATCAGTTTAAGTTATAAATGCCGAGTATGGATAGATGTAGGAATATATAATATAAATCATAAAATGGAAATTTTATAATAATATTATATAACTAGGATTACCATAATATACTCTGAAAATTAAATGGTTATTATCAAAGGAACCGGAAAATTTGGTTTGTATAATAATAACAATGCCGGTTGTTAAGTTAATCAAATAAAACAAGTTACTTATTCTTTGTTATATTTTCAACTTTTTTATTTTTAAACTAGAGTTAATTACACATACGTCTCTTTAGATTTCAATGTTTCTGAATGCATAGAAAAAATCATTAGATTAACATAAACACCCCACTCCCTTAATTTTCATTAAGGCTCCATTAGGGTTATTATCATTACACCACCTTCAACATAAAAAATTAACACTTGCACCCATAGTTAGCCACTTTTAGCTCCTATCATCAAGTTTTGGCGTTAAATTATTTGAGAGAAAAGAGACTGCAAAGAAAAAAATATATATAAAACTGAAAAAAAAAAATTAAAAGTATATTTTAAAAAATATAACTTTTTGTAGGCTGAAATTCAATAATAATTTTTTTTCAAAGAAAAAAGAATCGTCGTCCCGAATATCTATGATCGTCTTACACCTCTTTTAAAGTTTATTATTATTTTGAAATAATTAATATATGATTTAGTAATCTGATGTAAATGCCTATTATACCCTTCCCTCAATTAACTTTAAAACAAAAAAATCGCCGACACACCTAATGATCTTTTCTACGCACCCATGAAAGGTTGACGCTTCAGGGGAGGTTTATATAATTAACTATTTAAACTACAATTATTTTAAGTGTCCAGAAAACTTAATATTTTGTTGTTGATATATAGGTTACTGATTCTAAATATTTTGTTTTTTTGGGGGGGTGTTTTATCATGAACCAATTATGCAGGTAATGAAAGTTAAGCTCAACCAAATCAATCATAGACTTAGAGCCCCAGTACTTGTTGGTTGTTGCTATGTCCGCAAATTAATATCATATAAAATCGAATTAGGTAGGGTCGATCTTCAACTTATCAGTAAATTAATCATAAAGTAATGTAAATGAACATATAAAACAATAAATGACTAATTAGCCTAAGCTCAAACTAATCATTGTGTATAACCACCTTGACGTGCCCCAAAAATGGTATATTAATTTAAGTTATAACTCAATTTGTATGGCTTGGCATTATTCTGTAATCTGTACCGCCTTGGTAGTCACATGAATAAAAGACAAAACAAGAACGATATATAAATTTTCTATTAGATTGAAGATGATCTATAATATATATGACATCCATCAGCTTATAAATGCTCAAATAATTAAAATAATAAGCTTCACCTTGTATACATCTATACACTTAAACAACTACACGTATTTGCATCCCGTTGATGTAATTACTAGGCATCTCAAAGACACTTTTTTTTTCTTGCTATAGCTTATTGGAAAGAGAAGATGAAAAATTGGCTAATCAGGAGACCAAAATTTTGGCTTTCTTCCAGTGGTTGGTGTCACAGCTATGCTAGACACTTTCGCTTGAGTACCATGAATAGTTCAACCCTATTATCACATTTTTCTTCCAATATGGTGAAGATATTCTCTTCAAACTTTGTGTTAAAATAATTGAATACTTGATCTGCAAGCTCGTTTCCAAAGTGCTGCTGAATAACTCCTTCATAAACAGCTCGTACTTGTGAGACACCAAACTGAATAGACACTGCTATGTCCTTCATTGGAATAATAAACAGGCTTGTTTTCTCGATGGTAAATTTTCCATTTCTTTGTATGACTGCCTCAAACTCTTCAGGAGATGGATAGTATATAGGGAAGTTGAAGGAGTCTACTTTTTCTTCACTAATTAATCCCTGCATTGTTAATACAAAGAACTTTAATTTACTTTTGGATTTAAAACAAAAGTCAACGGTGATGACTTACAGATAAGAATAGAGATTTGAACTTAAAGAAGACCACTAAATACATATAAATAGAACTGGTCAATTTATTTTTACCATCTTCGCCATGTCATTGAGGCATGATCCCAGCAAATCATAAAGTTTACCCTTGAAAGTGTTAGAGAAATGGACTCCATTTGGTAAAGTAGATCGTAGAATGATCAATAACCCTCCAGGTACAAGTTCTTCTGCTCTTGCATTCAGAAATGACTCCATATCAATTTTGAACTGACCAAAATATGCCTCCACAACTTCTTTCACAAAGCCTGTGCACTGTATATTACCTTTATTCCATGCAGGAGATTTCCTATTCACAATTTCTTCTGGAACCTTGGATAGCCAGTGCAGAGCACTGGAGGAGTGTGAAATATGCAGAAAGGATTTGGGAAACAAGCGGCCATGAAAAGAACCTGGCACTCCAGCAGCAAAGTATTTTCTCGAGGGAGGAAGGGTCCTGAAGAGAGTGTTAAAGTCATTGTTGGAGTGATCATTAAAGAAGACTTGGAATTCTACGGCTGAAGGTTGGTGTTCAGCATTGTTTAATTTTTTCTCAACAGCATCTATGATGTTTTCCATGGCAATGAAAGTGTTAGGTCCAACAGAGCAACCAAAATCAGCTATTCGAAAATCGTTGGAAGTACCAAATTGGAGTATCTTCATGTCAAGCTTTTCAGATATTGCCTCACTCACCAATTCGTTAGCACCATCCACTACTCCCCTCTGTAGCCAATATAATTTGTGTCACTTATATCAAGAAATGCTTATATGAAACGGTTTTATCACATCGTCATACTAATCAAACAATTTCATTGAAATTAATTAGTCAAATATTCACATATATGAAATAGATTCTTTTCAACTATAACCACCATCATGGTTTACCAATAATCACTTCTATGGTGAGTGTTCCTAAAAGACTATCACTTATGTAATCAATCATATGTGGATGACCTCAACACATCCACATACATAAACAACTATAAAGCACTGGTTGATAGATAGGAAAACATTTTCAAAGAAACTATTGAACAAGATTTTAGAGTACATAATATCTTATAACAAATATGCAGGATAAAAATTAATGGACAAAGGTATTGAAAGTTATTAGCGGTATATCAACCTAAATTAAAGGAGCACACACATCAGACAAATTACAAGAAACAATTAATTGCACAGGCTTCATGTTAGCAAGCCAAAAGAAGATACCTGAATCTGAGAATTTTTAGTATAGCTTAGAGGGCCATCTGCACCCACCATGGGATATGATTTGGACAAAACATTGGCATCCTCATTAGCCATTTCTGTTTATCTCTCCCCAAAGGTAGAAATAATCTTTGTCTTTAAGGCTAACTTTCTAGTTCAAACGTTGGTCTTCTCACACAAAATAGAACTGCAGCTTATATATTCCTAGAAAGAGTGAAAAGGAATGAAAAAAGGTGCTCTTAGTCTTAGTCATGATTAGAGTTTAGAACCACGAACAGTTGAAGAAGTGATGGAGAGAAAGCATACTTTGGGATAAGGGTAATTAAGCTTGCCGTTGAAGACTATCTGTGCCACAACCTACATTAATAGTTAAATTGTAATAACCAATAAACCACTAATAAAACCACTAACAATCAAGAGAAACATACCGAATTGCTAGCATTTATAGGAATATGTCTATATGCTCTTTGCTTGTGTACTTATGCATAATAATTCTTAATTCGATTGAGTTCGTACTTAATTTAAATATATGAAAATAGGTTACTCTTTAGAAAACTCTTTATTTAGCATAATACAAAATCAAGTGCAACTTCTATAGTTCTCTCAGGCATTTCATCGAACAATTTAAGAGCTAAAACATCAAATGAGTGAGCAAATTTCGAAATAAAATTTGATTATAAACCTAAGGTAGAAATAAATGTTTAATCACCTTCAGGTACAAAACAAAAAGGAATCTTACGAAAATTAAATATTAAAAAAACACCTCAGACAGTTAAACTTTGCAAGAAAAAAAAAAAACTGAAAAAATAAACAAGTCAGCATAAGTTTCTGTTTGGTTCCCAAGAAAACAAAAGAAAAACAGAAGATAAATTCATAAAAATCTTGGGTAGCTTTTTCAACTGCTCACTAGAAAAAAATTAAAATACAACTGATGTCCTGAAGGACCAAAACGGATGTATATACACACACAACAAACAAAAGGTATTACTAGAATAAATATTATCAAACATTATTTAATAATCAAAGATGTTGAAATCAAATCAATTTATGTTTCTTACCTTGAACGATGTGAACCGCCGTTCCCCGGCGTCGACAAGTTGAACGATAACGAGACTCAAATGATTTTGAAACAAGTATGTTTAAATTTTAATACACTAATGGCTAATGTTAAATGACCCCTGTATGGATGACCTGACCTCAGCCCACAGGGGTGGCTACTGTCATTGACCCATTTAATATTATCCCAAATTTAGAAAATAGTAAAGGTTTAGCAAAATGACAAGTTTTCACCCTCGCTTTATAAATTGTAATTTTCTACTTTTAAATCTGAAATAAAAATAAAAATATTTAAAATAACCCTTCACATTTAAAATTTCTTTCATAAGCATCCTCTCTCTAAAATTTCTTTCATGTGGCCAAATTTAGCCTTCACATGGGCCAAAAGTAGTGGCTAAATGGCTGCTTCTTGGCCACCGCATGTTGGCTTGTGTCGCAAGTCATAGGTTGTGAGAGAAATTTGAGATGTAGAGGATTATATAAAAAATTTTATTTTTATTTTAGATTTAATATGGTAAAAATGACCACTTTACCTTGACCGTTACATTTAAACAATTTTATGTTAATTTAAAGATATGAATCTGGAATTTATGAAACCAAGGGTGAAAACTTGCCATTTCGCTAAACCTTGGGTGGGAACATGTCGTTTACTCTTGTCCCTTATGGTTTTTGTTACTATCACATTTAACCTTATAACTTTTAAAATTGCCTTGATCATGTGAATTTTCCTAGGGCAGTTTTGTATATTTCCTACGGTAATTTTGCCCTAAGAACTAATCAAGTGTATTTTTGCCTAGTTCTTACCGGGACTTTTTGCCTTTGAGAACACCCCTTTATTTCCAAGCACATTTTAGAGCCCTGGAAAATTGTTGATCGGAAATGAGACTTGTTTGATGACTGAGTTTAGAATTCCTTTAATGAAATTTGTTTAGCTTTTACGTGATGACTTGTTTGATACATTTTGTTTAGAGAAATAGAAAATTGGGTTGTTTTGATGAATTTTTTTTTCTTTTTCGGATTTTGAATTTCATTAAATTTGATCTTTTATGAATATTAATTACTTTGGAAAATAATTAATTCTTTAGAAAATTAATAAAAAGGTTAAAATAGGTATTTCAATAGTCAATGTCGGTCACATAATAAATCAACAAAAGCTGCATGCCTTCTTATATATACGCCAGTGACTAAAGCACGCAACTAAAACTATTTAAAGATATCGATATCCCATTGATTCAATTACAAATTAGGCCGCCTCAAAGATTTGTTTTTTTTTGTAGGTTTTGGGGACACTGAGAGGAAAAGAAAATGGGTGATGAAGAGACCAAATTTTTTGCAGAATCCAATCCCATGGTTGGTGGAGATGGAGCTCAAAGCTATGCTAACAATTCTTGCTACAATGTATTTCTTATATATGCTAGCACTTAAAACCATGCATATATTTATGTTATTATTATTTCATTGTATATTTACATCTTAATTTCTGCTAACTTATTGTTAACGTACTTGGTTATTATAAAAAAAAAAAAAAAAGGTTGTCATATAGGTTTATTGCTATAGAGGTCGATAGTTGATGCTTCAAGGGAAATGGTAGCTGAGGCGGTAGCTGATAAGCTCAACTCAAGGAGCCTGGGATTTGACTCTTCCAAAATTATTAAATGAAGCTCAAAACGGTGGCGTTTGAGGAAGTGAGAGTTTTAATCTTGGCCATTGTTTGTTCAAGAGATCTTATGGCTACCATTTGTCCAAGAAAGTCAAAGCTATATAAGAGACAAAAAATTGTAGATTTGTATTTTTTCTCCATCTCTCTCTTTACGATCAACATAGTGCTCTGCAAGGGTTTCTAATTGAGTACAAATTTCTTGTAATCAGACTTAGATTTCTATAAATCTTGGGTTGAAGGTCGAGCTTCCTTCAAGGGTAGAAAATCTAGGTTTTGATTTCTCTTGTGAATAAAGGTTATAGTTAGGATTTAGGGATTGATTGTGTAAGGATTTAGAGTTGATTCGTTCTTGTAATCTTCTAATCTCTTAGTGCAGTGAGCCCTAAAAGTTCTTGGAGCTCAACGTGGATGTAGCTTATTCCCAATTTTGGAATAAGTGAACCATGGTAAACTACTTGGTGTTTTTGATTGTGTATTCTTGCTTCTTTGGTGTGTGATTTAGATTCTTTGAAATGTGTTTGATGTTTGTTTTGGCAGATTGAGTTCTAATTTTAACTTAACAGTGGTATTAGAGCAAGGTCTAGGGTTTCTTGAAATCTAGGGTTTGTCTTTTTGGTTTGTGAGTCTCAATTGCAACCTAAGGTTAGAAATTCCTAAAATCAACAATTCAATCTCTTGAAAAGGGTCAAAAATCGTTTTCAATTTCTAGGGTTTCTCTCGGTAAAATCCCAAATCAAACACTAAGTCTTTAGAATGACTACCACACGTGTTGAGATCACCCAATATGATAGGAAGATCAATTTTAATAGTTGGAAGAAGAAAATGAAGGCATTGCTATCTCACAATAAGGTAGCAATTGCACTGGAGAAGGACGTAACAAAGTGGATAGAGGAAAAATTGAAGAAGAAAGCTGAGGTGGATGAGGAAGCCGACAACCTCATCATCATGAATCTCTCCAACAGCGTCTTAAGGAAGGTAGATGGCTTTGAAATGCCTATCAAGCTCTGGGGTAAGCTTGAATCTCTTTATGCTTTGCAATCAGCACCTAATCTTGCATATCTTAAAGGTGTTTTATTTGCTTACAAGATGGATAATTCTAGGACAATGGATGAGAATTTTGATGAGTTCTTGAAAATGACCTTAGCGCTTAAGGGTACAAATCAAGAACTCGGAGATTCCAATTTAGCCATGATACTGTTAAATTCGCTAATCGAGGAATATCAGGTTATAAAAAATGCATTACAATACACTAGAACTGTCCCTAGTCTAGATTTAATAATCTCAGGATTAAAGGCTAGGGAACTAGAACTTAGAGTACAAAAAAATGAGTGGTAACGTTCTGTTTGTGAAGGGAAAAGGGGGAGTCAAACATGTTGGGTAGTAACACACAATTTGAAAATGGCCCTAGGAATAAAAAGAAGGATAAAACAGTCGCAAAGCAAAAGGGGAGACTAGAAAGTGTTTCTTTTGTAACAAAACAGGACACTTAAAGAAAAATTGTTTTGCTTGGATAAGAAACAAAAGCAAGGAAATATAGAGAGCAACCTAGCTTCCACTAAAAACAATATTGAAGAGTCAGAGGTCCTCACTGTCTCTAAATCAGATAATGTAAATGAATGGGTACTAGATTCAGGTTGCTCATTCCACATGAGTCCTAACAAAAACTGATTCCAGGACTTTGAGGCTAATGAACTAGAAACTGTATTTATGGGAAACATTAATGCCTCCAAAGTCTAGGGAATTGGTAGTATAACCTTAAGGCTTGAAAATGGAAAAAACATTAAATTAACTAAGGTTAGATACATTCCAGAATTAAAGAGGAATTTGGTCTCTCTAGGAACACTAGATGAGTCTGGGTGTTCTTATCAAGCTGAGAATGGGTGCCTAAATGTCTATAGGAATAAAAACATAGTCCTTAGGGGAGTGAAAAGAAATGGATTGTACATTTTATGTGGGAAGCATGATTTTGAATGCTATAATACTGCTTTGCTTTCTACTAACTTGACTGTTCTAGAGAAGTGGCATCTTAGGATGGGCCACATGAGTCAGACGGGCTTGGACATCCTAAGCAAAAAGGGACTGTTTGGTAAGGACTCCATTGAAACTCTTAACTTTTGTGAAACATGTGTAATGGGTAAGCAACATAGACTAAGTTTCCAAAAGGGAACTCACCTTGTTGAAAATTGTTTAGATTACTTGCATGTTGATTTATGGGGGCCTGAAAGGGTAACATCCATTGGGGGCAATAGTTATTTCCTTTCTATAGTTGATGACTACAGTAGGAAAGTGTGGGTTTACTTGCTTAGGATTAAGGATAAGGCTTTAGGCAAGTTTAAGAGCTGGAAACTATTGATAGAGAACCAAACTGACCGAAAGATCAAAGCCCTTAGAACTGATAATGGGTTAGAATTCTGCAATTTAGAGTTTGATAACTACTATAGTGATCATGGTATTATGAGACACTGAACAGTTAGGAAAACTCCTCAGCCAAATGGAGTTGCTAAGAGGACGAATAGATCCCTATTAGAAAAGTTAAGATGTTTGTTGTTTACATCTGGCCTACCTAAAACCTTTTAGGGGAAAGCCTTAAACACTGCTGCATACTAAGTCAATAAGAGTCCCTCAAGTGCCATAGAATTTATGAACCCCAAAGAAAAGTGGTCAAATAGGAAACTCAACTTAGGTCACTTAAGGGCTTTTGGATGTGCAGCATATGCTCACACCACTGATGGAAAATTAGACCCAAGATCCTTGAGGTGTGTGTTTCTAGGTTATTAAGAAGGAATCAAAGGGTATAGGTTGTGGGAGAGGAGTGCACCTGGAGTGAGGATTATAATTAGTAGGGATGTAATATTCAATGAGAATCTTTTTCCTTGCAAATCTGTTGATAATGGTGCAGATACTTCAAGTAGTAACCACATAAGTCAAGAACCACTAGAGAATGTTCAAATTGAGGTGGAGCCTCTAATAACCCAACCTGAATAGGAAAATCTAGGAACTAAAAATGTCGCACCAGATCTGAATCTTGACTATGAAGAGGAACATGTTGAAAATCCTGAGGTTTCTCAACATGATTCACTAGCCCAATACCAACTGGCCCGAGATAGAACTAGAAGAGAGATCAGGCCACCAGCAAGGTTCTCTTATGTTTAGCTCATTTACATAGCCTTGGTGGTTGGGGTTGAATTGCAAAGGGCAAAACCCTGTCACCTATGAAGAGGCAATCAGATCCAAGGACAGAAGCAAATGGCAGACTGCAATGGAGGAGGAAATGCACTATCTAAAGGTAAATGGAACCTGGTCATTGGTGCCAAATCCCAAAGACTAGCAATAATTGAGTGTCGATGGTTATTCAAGGTAAAAGAAGGTATATCTCTCTCTGATCCTCTTAGTTATAAGGCAAGATTGGTAGCCAAAGGCTACACACAAAGGGAAGGAAT